AGCTCAGAAGCAGGAGTGGCATCTAATTCCATAATAGCTTGCCTCAGGAAACTCTATGAACCTGGAGAAAGGATGAAAGTTATACAGGTGTCCGGGACTAGGGTCACTATGAGTCGCCTGTGACTCGACGGCATTTAACAACAACAGTATTAAAATAGAAAACAAACAAGCCCTAAGCAGGGACTGGACTGGCCGAGAGGGAGGAGAGAGGGTCAGCGAGCAGGCAGGGGGCAGCAAGCGGGCAGAAGGCAGAGCTTGGAGTCAAGAAAACCGAGAGAGAGCAAATGCAGCTGCCTTGGCTTTGTGTTTTGTTTTTTTTTGTTTTTTTCTTCTGTCTCCCAAATTTCTGTTGTGATTTGGGTGGTGGTTTACAGAGCAAATTGCTTTTCCCCCGCCACGGCTGATGCACGTTGTGCTTTGATCCCATGCCCCACAGCATAACAGCCCAGCGTCAACACGGCTCTTCCTGCCTCTTCTCCTCTTCCCTCCGTCCTCCTTCCTTCCTCCTCCCTGTCTCAGTGCCCTCTGAGCTGGAGGCCCGAGCAAATGCTGCCCTTTGATCTCCTCTTGTTTTAATTGTGATTAGAGCGAGAGTTGACAGCCGACTGGCGTTCAGCTCAGCATTCGCGCGCACACACACACACACAGTGACAGCCCTTCCTGCCAAGATCTCCTCTCGCTGTGCCACTTCTCTGTCCCATTCTGCCTTCTCATCTCTTGCTCCACCTTCCGGGATTTATCTCTGGCCGGATGCTGACCCACTGACCCAATGTGATTGGTCGATGCCTGGTTCTAAGGACCAAGCACCTTCCATGGTGTTAGAGACCCAATACATCTGCCCCACTGGTAGGCGACAAGTTGTGAGTTCAGTTCCAAGGGCAAAGGGTGGCTGTGATCGTGTACTGTTTTCAGGAGTGCGGGGGAGGCTCTGGTGGCCTCGTGGTACTGAATTCGGCTCCCAGACCAAAGGCAGGCAGTTCAAACCCACCAGCCACTGCCAGGGAGAAAGATGGGCAATCTCTTCCCCACGCATTTTGCTGCCTCTGAAAATACTCTGGAGGGTGAGCTCTGCATCGGTTCCGACCTGACTGTCCAGAAAAGCAGTATGTCTCTGGGAGGAGTGCGACCGGGGTCCACCTCAGAGGGAAGGGTGGTGAGACTCACATCACATGCTATGGGCGTGTGGCCGGGAGGGGCCGGTCCTGGGAAAAGACATCCAGCTGGGAAAGGTGGAGGGTCAGAGAGAGAGAGAGAGGAAGCCCCTGAACGCAGTGGACTGATACAGGACTGTCACAATGGGCTTGAGCTTGGCAGACGTGGTGGATAGCGCAAGGGTCAGATCTGTTTTCACAGGGCCTCTGGGACTTGTCGTCGCGCAATAGCACCAAACAACAACAACATGTCCCTTGGTGTTACGTGCCATCAAGTCACTTGCGACTCATAGCGACCCTATGTACAAGATCCCTAAACACCATTCTATCCTGTGCCAACCTCGCCATCTCCAACACACTCACACCTACCACCCCAATCACAGAATCGATCCATCTCCTCGAAGGTCTTCCTCTCCTGCGCCATCCCTCCACTCTCCCAAGCATGACGTCCCTCTCCAAAGACCAGTCCCTCCTTGCAGCATGCCCAAAGTATGTCAGACGAAGCCTCAGAACCCTTGACTCCAAGGAGCAGCCTGGTTTCACTCTCTCCGGGGCAAACCTGTTTGTTCTCCTAGCAGTCCATGGTATATTCAATACTCTTCTTCAGCACCACAGCTCAAAGGCATCAATTCTCTTTCTGTCATCCCTAGTCACTGTCCAGCTCTCCAATGCATAGCACACAATTGTGAAGACTGTAGCCCAGATCAGGTGCACCTTAGTCTCCAGTCTGACATCATTGCTCTTCAGTACTCTTGAGCAGTCCCTCACAGCCGACTTTCCCAATACAATTTGTCTCCTGATTTCCTGGCTGCTGTTACCAAGAGTGTTGATTGTGGAGCTAGTGCTTGAAAATGTAGAAGGTCCGTGAAGATGAGGAAGACCCTCAATGAGACAGGCTGGCCCTGTGATGACAGGAT